CCCTTGGCACTGAAGTGCAACTACCTCTAGACTGAAGCTTCTCAGTGATGTGCAGCCTACTGTGCAGCACCACGTCTCACAACAAGAAGTGATTAAAACTATTCAGCTGAAATTATAAAACAAGGGGAATTTTAAACAAGTAGTTCAAACCCCAGCTCGTCCTGGATACTGCAGAGAACAATATTAACTCTTGATTTAAATACCAGATGGTTTCAAATACAAATTATAAGAATGAACTTTGGATAGGAAAAAAACTAAGAATTGAATGAAAATTATAAACTTTACAACGGTTCTGTTTGTATTTACAAAGCAAGACCTTACCATCCCACTGCCTGAGCACACAGGTAATGGCCTGGCTCTGTAGTTCAGCTGTTTCCTACTACTTTCCTCTACCTTCAGTTAGTTTGCAGTGATCAAGATGGAGCTTCGAGACACAACCACCCAGGTGTGGTGGCTTGGCCATCAGCTCAGCACCAAAAAGGTGTCGCCAGCAAGGAGAGCTGCAAACTTCTTACCAGTGGGACTCACATAAAACTTAAGTTCATCGCTTAAACAGCTATTTGCTTTCATACCATCCTTGCCACACAGCTTTGAAGGCTTTTATGCAAAGGCAGGATACATACTGAGGCTATACAGATGAAAACAGAGCATTGACTCATGTTTCAAGAACACAGAGTAAGGAAAGTTCACACACTTCAGGAAAAAAACCACATTTTGCAAATTAAATTAGTGCTTGGGAGAGAGATGAGATCAGTCAGTGCTCTGGCATCCTCTTTCACAGGGATCTGCAGCAGGGACATGACAGCAGAGCAGTGTTCATTTAAGGGGGAGGGGTGGGTGATGAGATTTCCCACCAAGACATTCCACAGGTTTGGGACATATTGATTACTGAGACAAATTTAATATAAAAGAATGTAAAGATATAAAAGAAAGACTCTGTCAGGAAGGTTTGACTGGTTATTTGTGAAACTCTGTGGCAATTCTGAAAATTTCTGCTGGCCTGCTGGGAAGCACAACAAGTCACAATGGGGAAAAAGCCAAGCAGTTTTCTGGGCTGCAGGTACAGGAGAGAGATGGCTGAGGGAGGGCTACAGTTTATATAATATTAATCCTCCACAAAGCACAATGTTAATTAACATGCAATTAAGGTAGAAAGTATCCTTGCTTAGATTTTAAAAATCCTAAACCAATAATGTGGCTTAGTCATAAAGTACAAATACTGGGAAAACTGAGCATTTCAGTCCACTTCACCAGTTATACAGAGTATCTGGCAAACTGACTCAGAAAGAGCAATTTAAGGTAGGGAAGTGCATAAAGGAGAGTGGGTGAAGAGTTGGGCTGGGGCAATTTTGGGAAACCTGTTCCACAGAATCACATCTGCCTCTTTATTCCCTATGAAAGTCTGAGATCTGACTCAATACCACAGTTCAAAATTTCTTAGATATATCTTTTAAAACCCTGCAGACCAGGAAGACATTAGTAGAACAATGAAAAAACTTGGCATCTCAATAACTCTATATAGTTTTCCAAAACCAAACAGATATTTTCCACTCTTCCACAAAACTCAATATAATACAATATATTACACATTTTTATGCAGAAAGACTTACATAACCTGCCTCCATTTCAATGAAGCTGTAAATTTGTGGGTTGGATATCTGACATGCAATTTTGATTAAGTAAAGAAGTGGGAATAGCACAGCTGGGCTGGAGTCGGTTGAGTCTGAGAAAAGAGAGTCTACAGGCCTCTCTAAAAAGCTCTCATCACAAAATGAACCTATAACATTGCCTTTATTGTACTGAACCTACAAGCCCAGAAGATGATAAGCTTGTTTAGGATGGGAGATGTTGAAGCAGGATGCCTGTGCCTTGGCCTGGTTTAGTGTTTTACAGATTGTAACCACTGTATTCCAACAACAACAGAAACAACAAGAGCTCCCTCAGCAGTATATTGGTGTCCAAATTGACAACACAAAATGGAAATGTTTCTTCTAGCTCAAAAAATTAGTGCAAAAAGCATATATGAGCTGTATGAGAACTGTGTCACTAATACCTCAGTCTTCAGTGAGATGATCCCAGATTGGTTCTGATCTTGGAGGGCATCAGATTTTGGAAGACCAACAAGTCAGCAGATGCTCATCCTTTCTGCAATGCCTCAGTAAAAACCAGATCTTTGTTTCACGGTGCATAACGGCTGTGAAATCCATGAAGCTCAGAATTCTCAAGGACTACAAAATAAAACCACTCCTGTGCAGTCCTAATACAGGAAATTCCAGTGTGAGGGAATGCAGCCTCTGTCCAACATACCACAACCAGCAGAAGAATGTGGCTTCAGAGGAAAAAACTTTCAACTGGTTCCTAGTGGGCTTAAGCATAAGTTGACTTTGTGTTACAGTAATAAGCCCACTGGTCCATTCAGTCATGGCTGTATTTCTGCTGGCCTTGCTGTGAGAGCAGCAGAGCCATGGTGGACAGCCCCGTGTGGGCCTGTGAGACCAGGCACATGAGAGACATGAAAAGGGTGATTTTCTTTTCCTGATGAGCTCAGGGGAGGCAGGCAGCACTGAGAAAGTCTCCCCCTCTGAGTGAAATTCATAAAAACTACCCTGAGGGTACTTGCTTCTCTCCCTCCTCATTAAGTCAGTAAAAACCATCAACACCAAACATATTAATTTAAGTAAGTAAAAAATATAAATTGAAACTTAATGCATATCATTGAGAAATGGTCTTCAGTGTCTTTGGCGTCTGGCAAGACTGCCAGCACACACGATATTGTCCGTACCTGTCCAACGGCAACCTGACATTGAGACCTAAGATCCAAACCATAGAGACCACAAGTGGCCTTCAGAGATAAGGATTCTGCAAATGTTGGGGAAAAAAGGGAAAAGATGAGAATTGAACCTTGAACCTGGCATAGCTCCAATAATGACATCTTAGAGTCTAAAACTCTCGTCTTTTCTCTGATAAAAACGTGGCAACAGAATGCAAAAGATGTGAACTTTGGGTCTGAGACTCCCTCTGAAGTGGTTCAAGCACAGTGGCACTGTGCCCGGGGGCATTGCAAGGGTGGTGGCAGAATGTGCGTAAGGGTGCAGGGCACAGTGTTTGCCCTTTCCTTCCCTTCCAGTTCATACCCGCCTCTGTGGCACAGGGCAGGATCAGTATGGACACACCTTGTGCTTTAAATTTTTTGACTCACAACAGTCCCTTACAGAGCTGTGCCAACTCAGCTGTAGTAAATCTAGTCTTTTAGGTTTAATCATATGATAAATTTTAGCCAGTTATCACAAAAGTAGAATCCCCTGCCACACTTTTTACATCACCCAGGTGAAAGCCAACAACTTGAGAGCAACTGTTACCAACACATGAAAGCTTGGTTGTTCCAACTAGATGAAAGGAGCCAAACCCGAGACAAGTATTTTGTCAACCCTCATGGGGAATCTTGTAAAGCCATCTCCCATCCTGTAACTGCTCTGTGGTTAAATAGTAGCTTCAGTTCTCTGATGTTGCAATCCAGCACCTTTCACAGGCATTAAATTCCCTCTAAATTAATTCTAAGGAAAAAAAATGCTTTCTGCACAGAGGTATTTCCATTGCCCAGTTATTTTATATGAATCTGATAACTAGTTTCCTGCTACAGAGATTACATCTTGAATATCTAATGCCAATTTGGAAATTTTTTAGGCAAAATAAAAATAGATCTAAAATACAACACACAGAGTTTAGCTAAGTGCAGAACATTAATGCAAGGCATGATTGGAAAAACAGCAAATAAATTGGAGGAGGGGAGCAGATTCAACGGCTCTCTCTCATGGTTAGTACATACTGTAACTGGTCATTCAGATATTTCTGGTTCTGAAAGAACATTTTTCTTAGCATAAAAATCTCAGAGTTCAACGATTTAGAAAAAAAAGTTAGAAAGAAGGATAGAGTGCAGCCAAAGGATAGCCTTTAACAACCGTTTCAAAATGAAATCTAAATATGCTTACATATTAGATAAATGTTGGCTTCCAGGGAAGCTTTACAACACTTTAATTCCATCCTGGACTGGGATATATGGAAATGTTTTGAATTTCCATAAGTCCAGAGCTCTCTGCTAAGCACACAAGCTGATATTTCTATTCATATAATAGAAGCTATTTTTCCCATGAAGAAACTCACTGGGCTCTCTTTGGCGACTTTCTTTTTTTTTTCTTTTGAGCTGCAGTACAATTTTATAGGACTACAGAATAATTACTCTTCTTGTATTCTCATCAGCTACTGATAACTCAACTGCCCTATTTTTTGCAACATGGATTCAAGGATCTTTTTTTTTTTTTTTTAAATGTCAGAGGGTTTTTTCCCCCTCTCATTACTTAAAACTCAGCAAACATAAGGAGTTGCATATAGGTCACACATGTTCAGTTTCATGCCCCCCTTCCATAGCAAGTTCTTTGGAAGTTTTTCTTATCCTTCATAGCCAAACCAGCAGTGGCCAGTCCATGCTCTATGGCTCATCACACACCTCATGCACAAAACACCTGTAGAATAGACCAATTGAGGCCAGCCTCAGCTTTCCCTAGCCTAAAATATTGTAAGATGAGACCCAGTGAGTTGTCTGAAAGGTGCAATGACCCAGGGAAAGTGTGGACAATCGTATTGCCTACAACAGATGAGGAAAAGGCAACCCTGAAGTATAAAGTCAGAGAATATGCCGAGCTGGAAGGGACCCAAAAGGATCACGGAGTCCAACCCTTAGCGCTGAATGGGCCCATCCACAAGAGTCACGCAATGTGCCTGAGAGTATTGAAGTCGAAATGGTCAGATCTAGCTGTGATTTGCAGATACCTGGGAAGAGCAGATGGGTTCCTGATTCAGAGACACGCTAGGCATCCCTCCATTTGTATTTTGTCTTTGTTCATATGCAAGTGGAAATTATTAAAACATCCTGTAAATGGCTAAATCAATCAATGATTCTTAACAAGAAACAATATATCAAGAAATGCCTCTTGACACTGTACCTTCAGGCTGTTGCAGGCAGCCCGTTTCTCACTGCTGGCCCCTCTCATGCTGTGGCAGGCTCCAGCTCTCACACAGCAGCTGGCAGTGTCCTGTCTTCTCATGCTGTCCCACAGCTCCTTGAAGACCTGGAAACAAAGAGGCACTGGTTCTTTCCCAGGCAAGACTGCTCAGCTGCTGCTCCATGGGTACCAGCAGCTTAACACATAAATTCATCTTGAGGAAAGTAGAAATGTGGAGTCCTCAGGCTGGTAGGTCCAGCCTGCAGTGACCATGGGCACTGGTGATGACAACCTTTTTACATACACAGACTTACAGTATTTATTTGCAGGCAACAGAGAGTAACAGGTCTACAGCCAACCAATAATATTTTGTAGAGCTGATGCCATTTGTCATATATCAAAGCTTGGGTTTAATGCTAAACCTAAGGATGTTCCAGCAAAGCAAATTTCACCTTTTGTGGTCTTCAAGACAGTTACCTGAAGAGTTGCATAAAAGTTGGTTTAATTATTTTACTATAACTTTTCCTTTATATTAGCCTTCTTTTTCAGTCTCTGTGTTCGAAGTTGAAGGAAATTACATGAAAAAGCAAAAGATAATTAAAGTAGGATTCATAGCAAAGAGACAAGGCACACTGACTTTAAATGTACCTAAAATTAGGGAGGAACTTGAAGGCCAAAAAAAATGTGTCACGATGCTAAACAATTTTCACAACTTGTCATTGATTATGATGCCTTTAAGCAAGTCCATCACCAAAGGCTGTTCTCTGTCACTGAACTCAAAACCCTGTACAATGTTTTTGTCTGGTCTATCTCTCCATGGCTGATGTCTTTTAAGACAGAAGGAAGATCTTATCAAACAGGAGAGATTAGGAACAGCAAGAACACCTGCTCAGCAAGTAGATATGAGTCTGGAGAGACACCCTCTCCTGACAAAAGCACATCCTACAGATATGTGTTAAAATGGGTGAGATGACTATTTTTAAAAGCTGAAAAACCATTTGGCTTCTGCAGACTCAAAGGTGATTCAATGCTGTAACTGCTCACTGGGCAGGGACACCTGCAAATCTTTTAGTATGGCTGCCCAAGCAGTAGCCCAGGAAGAGTAGCTTTCACAATTTGGCAACTGGATGTGGAGATAATCATGTGGATGTGGGCCTTGACCTCTCTGCTTGACCAGATAATAGAACAAAAAAAGAGGAAGATGGAAAGGAGATACTTGATCTTTTTGGGTAATTGTGACTTGCAGTTTATTATCACACTCAAGTTGAACGTCAACAGGTTTTGGGTTTTTTTGTGAATTTTTAAGGAAAATTGATAACATCAGCAGTCAGCTATCTCCTATTGCCACTCTCTTGGTTCCTAACACAACTACTAATTCAGACCTGATATACCCCCTCTGATCGCTTTGGGCCAAGGTCTGGGCTAACAGAAAATGATTGCAAAAGAAGACAACTGAGAAGAGGTTGTCCTGGGCCATAGCACTAACCTTTTGCACAGTTGGAAACCCACACTATTGATGTGGTATTGCCCCCTGTATTCCCCCCACTGCCAAGCACAGTGACTACTCTGGCCAGATGGCTTGTTCCCTGGATGTCGATACCTGCTCACATCAGCCCTTGCATTTTCTCCAGTGTCAGGGAGAGGTTTCTCCACCTTTGAAAGACTGAAGTGGATACCTCATTAGGCCTTGATTATCCTCAAGCAATTGCTTAGATTTCTGCCCTATTACCAATCTACCTTTTTTAGTAGGGGTCGTGGAATGGGCAGTGGCTGTCTTGTCTTCGTTATAATGCATCATTTGAAACTTTTCAATTAAGCTTCAGATCAGGCCACAGTACCGAGACCACTTTAACGAGGGTGAGTAATGACCTTGTGCTGCACGTGATTTCTGGCACACCATCAGTTTTAATTCTTCTTGATCTTACTGTAACCCTTTGATACTTTGGATCAAGGGTTCTCTTGAAATGCTTTAAGCACATCGTAGGACTTCCAGGGACTGTTCTGACATGGTTTCTATCCTACTTGTCTCAACATAACCAGACTGTCACCTGTAAGTTTTCCATATAAATTCAAATTGCCAAAGATTAAAAGGGAACTGAAAATCTGGCCTGTGTGCAGAACCAGGGAAATCTGGTGTGGGTCCCCAGAGTGAGCGAATCTAAGGAGGATTCTGCTATGAGAGCAAGGTAACCCCTTTGATGTGCCATGCCCAAGTACAGCAATGCTATGATTAGAACAGAAAGCTACATTATGCTGGAGTAGTGAATTTAATAAGAACTACTGAGAGAGAGAGACTTCCAGAAATTTAGATTTCCCAGTTAATGCCAATCTTTACATTACATCTAGGCGAAACTAAAACTCTGTGGTTTAAAACACAGCATAGACCCTCATCCAGTTAAGCCAGTAATAGAAACAACACTGATAGCAGCAGGATAAAGGTCTCACCTTTGAATTAAGGGCTATTTGAACCCAGATCCAAACCCAAGCGTCGTAGCTGGAATCAATTTATAAACAGGCTCTGTATGGACAAAGAAGATCAACCTTGGTATATTCAAGGTGCTTTCCTAAGTCTTGGAGTCTATTGAACCTGGCTTCCTTCTCCTGTGAGAAGGAACAGCATCTAACTAGAAAATTAATCTTAGAAAGAGTTTTCCAGAAACCCCTTGACTTCTCCAAGGTTTGTAGGCTCCTAATGGCTGACACAAAACCTCCATGAGCATGAGCCAATGAAACAGATACAGGTTTGTTAATAAAAACCCATATAATGCTTCTCATACAAACTCATAAAACTCATATAATGCTTTTAGGTATTAATGTTTCACAGTATCTGGATGCACAAATCCTCAAAACACAGAGTCCTTTTCAATAGGAGCAATCGGTTCCTACTAACAGCGTGAGACCAAGCAGCAGATGTCCTGAGGGGCCAGACTCAGCATCCACAAGGGAGAGAAGCAGCTACAAGCCTCAATCCCAAACTATGGATAGTACCACCAATTTACCTATTGAGGAGACAGTGAGAATGGGACTGCAGCCTGTGCCCTGCAGGCAGGTATGTGGGAGCCTGTGCTGTTTGGCCCTTGGCCCTGGTCTGTCACAGTGACTGAGCTTGTTGAGCTTGCCAGAGGGGGGTGAATTTTCAGGTAGCTGTTGTCATCTTCCCTTCAGACATCCCAAAAGCTTCTCTCTTGGCTTACAAGGCACATCCTGGCCTGTTATGCCAGGATAGGCTGATTTACATCTGAGAAGGGTCTCACAGGCTGCCTACAAACAGAGCAAAGCAAGGAGATGTTTAACAGTTCCCCTCCTGCTACAGTTTTGACATTGCCACCCTTAAAAGCAATGGACTGAGCTACTTAAAAACTACCTTTTTTTTTCTTTTTTTCTTTTTTTTTTTTTTTTTTTTTTTTTTTTTTTTTTTAAATTCTTGAAGCTTCTCTTACATGCAGCATAAGCTGGGTTTATCTGCAAGGGTAACAGAGAAATTCATGTGTTTTATTGCAGTTGGATGGTACTACCAGGGAAGTGAAAAAGCTTTCAAAGTTGCTATCAATCACTTGATATATGCAGGAATTGATTTTTATTGATATGCCTCTAGTCACCAACTGAAATGGTTTGTCTTTCATTATACCCTTTACAGGAGGCCTTTTTCACTGCACTTGCCTGGTGGCTTCTGCAGAGCTGGTAACATTGAACAAAACTCATTTCCCAAACCAAGCTTATTGGATGGAATATACAATTTTTTCCTGGGATGTAGCAAGCAGAAAATGCTCTCATCTGACACTGTCTTGGCTGCAAGAAGAGCAGATCAGCAGTACCATTAGTGTCCTACAATAGCATGCACAGATAAGAGGTGAGGGAACCCAATGGATTTCACTGTAGACAAAATTATCATCACTGTGTCAAGACTGACTTCTTTGTTAGCCTAACAGGGTCACACCTATTAGCATGAAAAAAGGCGGGGGTCATTTAACACAACCCTATTTACTGTGCACTGGAAACACACCTTCCAGCTCCTGCGAGTCTTAACAAAGCTGCAAAGAGCAAATCACAGCAGTGTGCTGTATCCCTGTCTCAGGTCCTCAAGGCAGCAATTATAGAAAATGGTTGTGTTATTGCCACATTTCAAAGTCAGAGTATGGCCACACTAATGTGTGGCTCTAAACTCAGCAGAGCTTGATCTATTAAACGCATAAAGCGGTCTGTGTGTCAGAGGAGTCTGGCCTAATCAGGGGACAGAAACCCCAAACTTCCAAATTCAAAACGCAGATTTCTTTGGCTATTTGACCAATACTTCAGAGCACATCCATACATTTTAAATTTCACAGTCTAATAGGAATACATAGCAATGCTCCTTTCAGAGGTGTTGCATTGATTAATAAGCTTGTCACCGAGGATGGAAATTGCTACATAAGTGTTAAGCACTGTTAACGAACAGAAAACAATTCCATACATTCTGGTGGAATCAAGAGAACTTCAGCAAAAACTATTAGTTTCATTTGCATTTGTACTCTGTCTGATGATAGTGATCAAGCTGGTGAAAGTTATTTCAAATGCTAGTTATGCTCCATGCCTGCAGAAAAAATTAAAGTGAAAATTCTGGCTCACAGGATAGAATTATGTCTACTGAAAAGATCTTTAATTTCTGAAATATATAGACAGCACAAACAAATATTTCTCTCATCAAATTTGCACACACCTCAGTGATATTTAGCTTAATAACTGTTCAAAGAAAGAGTAGTATTGATGAATTTAAAGTACAGAACCACATTCTGCAGGGAAACTATTTATGCTTTCCATTTCTGCTGCATATCCTCATTAAGGGCTCAGGCTTCTTGGCAAACTAGTGTACATCTGTTTTAGGCACTTCTAGCTCAGTTTTTCTGTGATTCACCTTCAATGCCACATCACCAATGTGAAATACTATGGACCACCTGAGACTTTCCTGGCACAGGAAATGGCACTGATTTTAGATTCTCAGGAGTCAAACTATGATTTTACTCAAATAAACCAACTTGATGAATCTCTGTATTTCCAGATTGTATTATCCTTCCTGTGAATACTTCTTGTGACAGAGTTTGGGATTAGAAACTACATCCTTAAACTCACATTTCTATGCCATTGTCATAAACCTATGATTTCTCTTGATCAGATTTGTAAATAAATACACAAAAGCAGTTGAGCAAGACTGGAGGCTTCTGCCTCCAGGACTTCCAGAGAAGAGGTCTGCTGAGTTTGTGAGCTAGCAGATGGGAGGTTGCAAGAGTCTCAAGAACATAGGATAGTTCTCTGACACTGGCCTGCTCTGTGATGAATCAAATCATTTTACCTCCAGATCTTTTCCTTTTTGCTTCTTCTGGGCACCAAGGCTGACTCTGAATTTATGCTGGTGCTGCGTTTCCCAGCACAGTGGGGTTTGAATGGCTCTATGTGCTGTTAGAGTATGGCTTTCTCTCTGTTTCCTTTGTTCTAACCAACCATTTAGAGACAGAGAGAGATTTATCTCTCCTTTCATTACATTTCTATGGAAAGAAAAAAGCAAAAAAAACCCCTAACAGGCATAACTACTTGACTTATTTGTACATGCCCATTATGTTGAGGGATGTGCTGTGCATGTACTGTGCATTGCTGAAAACGTAAGGTAGCTGTGAAACATGATGTTCTTGTGCTTACCCGCTCTTTGCCTTTAAAAGAAGATCTGCAGCCTAAACAGGCAGCTTTAAGAACTCTCCTGACTCAGTTGTAATCAAGATACCATCTACTTAAATAAGCATTTGTACTCCCAGTGATTTTAGGAGATGAATTACTGATCTTATTACCATAGTAAATACCCTTGAGGCAATGCACAGGCCAACAGAATATTGCTTTCTGCTGGTACAGTACCCACTTCCAGGAGAACTCCAGGAGTATTTCTAGCCATGTGGTAATAATAAAAGATTTGCTTAGACTATATTTGCCAGAAAGTTCTATTTGCAGAAGGGGCTTTTAAATCTTTGACACTGTTCATGGGAAACAGCTTGTCAGATCCGAAAATATTCCTACCGGCTCCTGTATATCAGCCTTACTACCGGGGAAAAGACATTTTCAGGTGGCACAGCTCAGTGCCAAGCAGAGAAAGTTTTCAGCTGACATGATGAGTGGCAGAGCAACATTACCTGGAGAGGCAAAAGCAGCTCTTGCCTGGCAGCAGCGGAGCAGCATGCAGTGTCCTTTGAGGACAGTCCCCCTTCCATGCACAGCTCTGTGTCCGGGCAGGCAGCGGGAGCCAGAGAAGGACAGGGAGTGACGGTGTGTGGGAGGCCTCCAGCTCAAGCACACTCCATTTATTTATCACTGAACCATCATCTGGTCAACAGGAAAAGTTGATAAAACTGTTGCCTCCAGGGCTCCGTTCTCCTTGGGAATAATGAAAAGGTGAAGCTGGTTAAGGTCAGTGCACAGGAGGCCCTATTGAAGGTGGGAGCAGGTTGGCCATGAATTACTGAGCATCATCTGGTATCCCAGATAAGCAGAACGGGTAAAAGACTAGGCAGGCTCTACAATAAGGGATGGATTTAATTAACAATTGCACAGAGGGAACAGACCGTAGCATTCTGGCATGAGGACATTCTACATCTGACAGTTGCTTAAAGAGACAGGGAGCACCCTATTATAAAAAATATACAACTCCTTGATGTATTTTAAAAATTACACAAGAAACAATAACATATTGTATTACCCCATCTCTCCAGAGCTGCCTGGTTACACCAGCACTGAGCACTGCAGGCTTTCTGCAGATATGCTGCACTGGGGCCTATTTAAAAACATCAGTCCAAACTTGGTTGCAAAAGTACAACATTGCTGAAGTCAGGGGGTTGTGCAGATGTAACTAAAGGCAGATGTTGATCCATATTAACTAAACTATTAAATACATCAATCTTACCCAACCATCTGACGCCTTGTCCCACTTCCCAATATTTTGTTTCCCAAAAGTTTATTTAAATTCAGCCAGCTGACAATTTGCAAGCTTCTGGGTAACCCCTTTTTTCATTATTTCTGGCTTCCCCCTTCCTCCTTTTAGAGTTATTACTTTAATGTTAAGTGAATCTTCTAATTATTTTGAAAGTTCAAGATGATCATCACTGCACAGTTCTAGCTGTTTCACTCTTCAGATGGTAAAAAACAGCAAAAAAACACCCAAGGAAAGAAGCTGAAACAAACTAGAGTTCAATTCTTATTTCTTTTCACATATGTGTTAGAAAAACAATTAATTAATGCACAAGCTCTTTAATTCGTGTCTGCGTTCAAAGAAATGCAGACAACCGGCTTTGATGATCCCAGCCTCAGTTCCAGCAGGTGTTTAACCACATCCCACAGATCAGTGCAGCTCAGCTTCAGTGGATGGACTCTCTTCTCAGGGAGCCAAGCATGGGACACACCATTGCTAAAATGAACATATATGGAAAACAGAACAGTACATCCCTGAACACACCTGCCTGAGTAAACAACCTCTGTCCTTCATTCACCTGAATAAAGCATTGCCCAGTCATTGGAAACAATAAATGGGGGGGGGGGGAATTATTTACTAATCAGTCTACAGGAAAAAGGGCTCACAGAGTTCAGAGCTTCCCTGGTAATGCAGGTAATGGTGGTAATGCAACTGATTTCCTATGTTACTACACCAGCTTTGAGACCCTACAATATGAATTATTCTGGACCTTTTTCACCAAGGATAAGCAAGACCCACCACTGGATCCTTGTCTTTTTCTAAATACTATTTTTTACTAGAGCCCATCCTAGGGCTGTAGAAGTAGATTGCCTTTTCTGAATCATATTTAAAAATCAGTGCTGTAAAATGTACCCCCCCCCCAAAAAAAAAAGGCCATAGAAAAGGTGTGACTTGAATGAATAAGAATTTTTTGAATGAATAGAGCCCTTAATATTTAGTTTTGCCTAATGAAGTAAGGCATGAATGTAAAAGGATTGCTATTCCCGTAACATTCAATTCACAGACACAAAGTGTAATTCATGGAACCTGGCTTTAATTTTTTCTCATATAAATAATTAATGCTGCATTTTAAAATGTCTTATTTCTTAATCAGCTAATTTGACTGAGAAACAAAGATGCCTTTATTTTCATTTTCCTTGACTAGAGTTACTGTAGTAAAAGGTCCCCTCTAGCTTTGGCCTTCACTCCCAAGTTTGCTGATGCCAATTAGTTTTCTAAAGTTACTATTTTACAAAATGTTTCTCACTTTTTAAAAAATGTAATTGAATGTCTGTACATCACAGACTTTCTTGTGTACAGACACAGGGTGTTAAACATTCTTTGGGTTGACTTGGGTCAGCTTTAAAAAATTTCAGACACTGAAACTTGAGAAGCAGTCGTGTGCTAGTGTTTTCTCCACATCCTGTTAAGTATTAAGTGGTTATTTAAAATAGAGTTGTTATACTCAGCAACTGACTTAAAGTGCTTGATATAGTTTACAAGACGATTAATTAAATGAGAGCATAGCATGTGATGCACATGTATTTCCATAATCATTCACATTGGCCTATAGTTGCCCTTTAATTTTCATACTAATTAAAGTAACACATTGAACTGCAAATTGTAAATGGCTGCATTTCTCAGATGTTAACACTGATGGAAGCTGAATGGTGAATAAAAAAACCCCAAGAATTAAGCAGAGTGTTTTTTGACTCTGATCCATTCAAGTTTCCCTACTCATTCCATTACTGGACCATGTCCACATTTTAACAAGACTGAATTTTTTCTGTGTTCTCAGATCCATATTTTTCTGAGGTACCATGTGTGTATTTTTTTGTGTTGTGGTGTCTGGTTGGTTTTCATCTGATACAATAGAGCAGTTATCCAGGGTTCACAGTTACAGATTAGGTTTTTGAAGTGGTGGTGGGACTGAGGTTTGTAATCTGATGGGCAGAAAGAAAGAAAACCTATTTCACCAGTAGTTTTACCTCTTAATTACATCTGACCCATTATCCTCCTTGATTCTTGTTCAAATCTTAACGCAGCTGACTCGGAACCTGAAATGCAAACCAGAGGGCTGCATTTTCAGGTTGCATCAAGGAAGGGAGAAGTTACTCCCTAGAACATTTATTGGGATTTGGAACAGAGAAGAAACAGATAGGAACAATTATCCCATGGCTCACATGGCTGCTGGCATTTCAACTTGACACATGCTCTGATGGGGACCACTGCATCCGCCTCAAGCAGTCTCTAGCATGTAATGGACATATGGTAATTGCTATTGAATGAGAAGTAACCTTGGACTATAGGCATATGAAAGATACCTTTAAAAAAATCCTTGACAAAAAAACCCTCTGTCAGGGCCAACAGCTCAAAAATTAACAACTAATCACTGCTTTCAATGTGTCCTCCATCTAATTGCTTCCATGATGAGGTGGGGTTTTTTTTCCCTTTCAGAAATGAGCATTATAAAAGATTTCTTTTTAATTTAAAATGAAAAATTCCTCCACTCCCAGGTGACCTATCCAAGAGAAAAAATAATAAGCACTCGATTGCTCAGAGAGCATCAGCTCTCACACACATTACAAGGCAGAGTGTTCATGCTCCCTTACACCCCCCACCCTGCTCCCTTCCTGCAGTGTGTCCTATCTCCAGATCCTAACTTGGCTTGGTCCAAGATCTTATTTGTTAAAATTAACTTTCAGATCAGGCTGGAGTCAAGGTACTTGGCAAGGAGGAGAGGAACCAAGATTGCAAGGAAGGGAACAGCTTTGAGAGGCAGAGGGAAGCTGTAGCCCAAGCAGAGGTTTTTGTGGAGTGACAGCAGGACACAGCAGCACAGCCAGGTTTGCTCTCAGTTTTGTCACAGCTGTCTCGAGCACAGTACTGTCCCCAAGTCCCTTGTTGGGGGCCACACAAAGACTTCTCTTACATCTGCCCCCAGCCTCCCCAGGCTGCAGCCCGTCAGAGCTGAGGTCCTGCTCCTGCCTTGGTGGGGGCACCCCAATGTGACTGTTCCCATAATATGCTTTATTTCAGCAAAAGTCTTCTGAAGTTCAGCCGTGGCAATGCTGAACAGCCACATATTGCAAAATGAATGGAGTCACGCCGAGGGAAGAATGATAGACTATGGTAATAATGCAAGACCTTTTTTCCCCCTCATAAACCAAATTTCCCATACTTTTCTGGAAGATTAATTTAGATTTAGGGAGGTTTCAACTGAGGTACTGGAAAAAAAGGCTCTAAATGCAAGGTTGGTTTCTACCTGACCTTAACTACTAGCTACCACTGCTCCAGTACATTTCTATATAAAATCTACAGGCACTTCAGCTTAATTACCTAAGGATTCTATAAAAAAATGCCTTTAAAATATTTTAACTGCAAATCTAGGTTTTCTGAGCACTACACAACAGTGGTATCATCCATTGACTAATTAACCACTTATTTGAGTAAAAAAAGAAACTCTCAGCTACATGGACACAGTTCTGCTTGCCTTAAGTAGATGATGCATGTAAACATGTGCACATACAGAATTAAGTAGTAATTTGAGTTTGTTGGATTTTGTTTTTCCTTTGATACTGGTTGCTGTAAATGTAACACCAGATTTATTTTCAAGTTTACCCTCCAACTCTATTGTAAGAAAGAAGGGATTATAAAGGGGGGAAAAATCCAAGAAGAAGAAGCTCTTGAAGCTTTCTGACTCATATGACACAAAAGGACTGCTATGCTTCCAAGTGGGAGATTCAGTTGACTCTTCCATTTGGACACAAACCCCCCTCTCCCTCTCTCAGTCCCCTAACTTGCATTTGCACTCACCTCCAAGAAAGAGTGGACTCTCTCTTCCACTGTTGCAGCCTGCAGATTGCCTCAGATGGGATACGGCTGGAGAGATGCAGTTGGGTGATGTCAGTTGCTGGCAGGGCAGTTTGCTTTGCAGAGTGCTGGGCTAACACTGCAGCCCCCACGGGACCACGAAGCAAGGAGGAATAAAAGCAGGTCTGAGCAGGGCTGCTTCAGCTCAGCAGGGTGCTGGCCATCCGGGAAGGGTGCTTACAGGAAAGCCAAGGACCTGGGAAGTCTTTCATCTTTCCAAAATCAAACCCTTTTTACATAGGCTCATGACAGCTGGTTATGATGAGCAAATTAAAACTAATTTAAAAGTTACTCTTGGGCACAATTGTCAGGCTTTCATTCAGGAAACTCTCTAAACAAGCACTTAAATTTAAGCAGGTGCCTAAATCCCACTGAACACAGTAGGATTTATACACCTGTTTTAGTGCTTTCCTGGGCAGCGATGGCCCTCAGCAAGTGGTATGTCATATCCCAGGAGTTACAAAGTCCAGGTGTCTTATTTTCATCCAGGCTTAATTGCCAGTGCCCAGCCAGCACTAGAATCACACCACCCCTAACCAGATTTTTATTTTAGTGCATATCCTGTCGTACTGAAACCTGCCGCAGCCCCACAGGCAGCTCTCCTGCTAACGAGCTGCAGCATAGAAATCTGAGCATGAGAGCTATCTAAGAAGGTTTACACTCACAAACTGCCACCGTGGATAGCAATGCTGTTCCGTCAAGACGTAAATAGCACATTGAGCCATTCCTTGAAGTTGCAGCTGGGGCTTTTTTCCCTTCTTTATTCTTCTGAAGACTGTCATTGCGGCCCTGGCACAGCAGGGATAGCACCGGGAGCCTCAGTGCCAGAAGTCCTCTCCTACTGCAGAAGCAGAGTGTGGTAAGGGTGCACATTTGCGGTAACCTCCCTTTTACAAGATACAGATGAGCCTGCTCAGTGGCAAAATTAGCATGCCGGGAACAGCTCTTCTCACCCTAGAGTGGCAAACTGCAAAGCTGATAGGAGGAGAAGGGAAAGGAAAACAGCAGGTTGGCAATATGACAAGTAGGGTGAAGTATTTTTTTGAGCATTAACACTGACCTAGGCAAGACACAAAGCTGAAAAGTAGCAAACATTTTCAATGAAAACCCTCCATGTTTCATAAACTTTGAGTCATTCTTGTTACTTAATTGAAAAGCAAACCCAGAGTTTTCATTTCTCTTTCTTCACTGGCAACAGGAGGATGGGAAAGGAAACAGAAAAAGAAAAGGTCACCACTAAGCTTTCTAAGGTCTTTCCTTTTGATACTGTGACTTGTTTCAGTTATTTTTTCATTACTTATTTTCACTAAAATAGAAGGTCTCCAGGAAAGCATTTGCTTTGGTTAAAACCAAAATTAAATCTGACCTATCACTGAGGGAAAAAAACAGCCGGCTCTAAGGAAGGCAAACTCTGCGTAAGTGTGCTTACATATTAAAGAGGGCATGTGCGAGTCAAAAATGCACTGACAGACCAGCATAGGTCAGATCTGCGGGAAAAAAAAAAAAAAAAAAAAAGCATTTCTAACAATCTTTCAGCCCTCTCTTTATTAGACCTTAATTAAATCAATGGGTCAAAGCGACAGAGGGAAAAAATGGTTCAGCTAGGGGACATTAATCAACCCCTTTCAGTGGATTGAAAGATATCTTAAGTGAGAATTAAGCTTTAAACCAACATCTGCCTCATGTAACACATAAACATAGATGTTACTGCTTAAGAAAAAAGTATTTGTAGAACCTTCTCTTGAAAATAAAAATCATTTATACAAGAAAATATTGTTAATAATCACTAGGTAAATCAGTGAGCATGTTTGAATGTGGATAACCAGGCAAGTCCTTTGGGTTTTGGTTGAACAGCATCCTTACATATGTTGTTAATTTTAGAGAACCGAGCTGCACTGAGCACCAGCTTTTGAGTTGGTAGGTGCTGTTGGATTCAGTTGATGATATGACTATGTTGACCATCAGACCTGTGAACAGCAATTGAACTGTTAAGAGAGACTGATTGAAAGTCTGGACTTGCCTCTTTTTTGTCCCCAAAAATTTTGACTGGAAAGCTGAACACTTGTGCAAATCAAGGTCATCTTGAATACATTTCTCCTGTTCTTACCCTAAACGCAGACTCAGAATCCAGGAAGCTCCTGTTATGGCCCTACAAAAGACAAGACAGATTTTACCTTCTTGTTCTATACTGAGATAGAAGATAATCTTATATCCTAAAGATGAAGTAGTAGTTTTTAACTGATCAGCAATGAACAAAGACTGATTCCCAATATTTATCTATTAAGTAACATATAATACATCAAATTAACTTAAAATTGCAAACTTACTGGTTCATATTGTTGGTCTGGCAGACTCTGTAACACAACTAAGGGAATTAACTTTCTCTCTTACCCGAAGAGCATTTGGAGCCACATTCCACCTGCCATTTAGCCAAGGAGAGGGGTGATCTCTCCAAACACAATTGGCTCTGTGCAGTTTTCATGACAGGCTGCACCAAGAAATACCACCAAGTTTCCATATAATATCTTGCCTTATTATAATCATAATTATTCATCTCTACTGCTTAAACCACTGTTGCATGAGAAAGTAATATTTCCAAGGCACTGGGTGGAATACCTTTACTGGAAAACATGCTCTCAACAGGAAACCCAAGCACAGTGCTGGAGAGTTATCTTAAGCAGATTTAAATAATTAAATCCAAAATTCTCAAACCACTTGCTGTTTCAAATTTATTTCTTTAATAACAAGCTTGTTTCAGCAACACAGTGGATTAGGGTTTCATTTATTCAAAATTTAAGGTCTGTCCCACTCTGAGTGTTATTTTAAGTATTTAGGGGAATTTTTGTGCTTGTGAAAACGAAGAGATTGTTGCATTATAAATTCATTTCCTCTGTTATTGCACAGGCCATGCACAGTGCAGCTGTGAAAGCGCTGTAAGAGCCCCAGCAGTGTCCTCAAGCTCAACCTAGTCGGCCGAGGCTTTGTTTTTGCACAAAGAGGAGCTGGCCCTTTCCCACATCATCAGCTACAAGTACTTCCTAAACAGCAAAGTTGACACCACATGCCCGTACCAAAGGAAGAGAAGGTGTTTAATGACAGTGATGACTGTCCACAGGGAAGGTGGGCCAGGAGCCAACAGCTGTTTTCATGCAGGACTTGAAAGAGGGGTTAAGCCTAGTGCCCACAGCCCTGCACTGAGTAGTGCAAGCAGCTTCTGTAGCAGGTGTTACCTCCTAAGGAAGGGCTCAGTGGCGGTTGCCATCCACACCAGCAATTTTACAAACAAGCAAGTTTCTTGTGCGTTCTTCATCACCTCCAGGCATTCATATTCTTTTTAAGTACAGGAACATTAATTAGATTTTGACCACAGACCCTGGATTTGACTTACCCTGACAGGGTTTCCATTAGAGTAATCTGTAGGGGAATTCGCTGTTTTAACATCTGTGCGCCTAAGGCCTATCTCACATTTACTGCCGCTGCCTGAAAAGCCTCCCTTGTACGGCCGTGTGTTTCTTCATGCTCCCAATTTCACAGAAGTCATTTCAGCACCAAACGGTAATTAGCAAAGGGATGGGCCTCGGCTGACATGAATGCAATTTATTGTTTTCCACAAGGCCCTGAACTGAGCAAACAAAGAACACAGTCTTGCTGTCTGGCATTTTATTAACTTGTATTGTGTGACATACCTTACTGAAGGGAGATCTCCCAGTAAATGTAGCAGCAAGTAACCAGTAACATCCATGCTTTTGAAGAATATTAATTTTGGTTCAATTAGACAAGTTTAGCGGGACCTCAGCCTCTAAAATAGGACAGCCACTTTTATAATTATCTTCTGTATTAACTTTATCTCCATCCGACTTTTTACATAAATGCAACCTTTCATCTTTAAAATGCCAACACTTCTTCAATTTTGGCAACCGTACAGCATTGCTAATTATTTGCTCATTATGTGTGGTTAACTGATGAATCATTAATAAATGAGTGAATGGCTAATATATTTTTATGGTAATTGGAGATATAACTGATTGCAGACTTCCTTTGCTTTTCAAAACTGCCCTGAATGAGCAGTAGCTGCTTAATTGTTTACAGATGATATTTATGCCACTGACAAGCTCTTCCTATTGCCATGGTTTATCAGAGGTGAGCCCTCCCTGTGCCCCACGCAGGGTAATGCTCTCCCTTCCCCATAGTTGCAGCAGACTGGTAGGCACACACAGTTCAGACAGGTTTCCCACCAGCTCCTCACAATGGCTGGGAGCAGGACTACTGACACCACCACACTGATTGTCGGCATTTCCAAGGAATACCATACTGTGACATGGAAATGATACCTTTCTGCAATGTTCTCCCGCAGTCTGGGTGTCTGCAGTGAACACCACAGATAGGGCAGGGAAATCAGGCTCTGCTGACATTTTGTTTTAACTTCATACCACACATTACAGTAAATGGCTTATACAACCTCTCTCTGCCAGTGCACAGTTAATGAATTCAGAGATAATTGCAGGGTTGATTTCTTTCTTTCTTTCTTTCTCTCTTTCTTTCTCTCTTTCTAATAATCTATCTTCCCATAAATCATTCTTAGAATATACAGTTCCAAAACACAGCATTAAATCTTCTTGACAATTCAAATCAAAAAGCAAAGATAGTAAGATGACCAAACAAGGTTCCTTTAGCTATGCACATGCATTCTGAAGATCAAGTTAAAAATGCAAAGGAGATTACCAATTCTTAATTATAATTATTTAACCAGGTGGGTAGTTTCTCTAATGAACATTTCTATGAAAACAGAATAACTAATGATGGTCTTAAAGAAGTCTTTGTCTTCCCATGTACTAATGATCACATTTATAAATATGCAGGAAGGCCCCCCTGTACATTGCTAATGATAAGTAATTAAGCACCAGGCGTCAAAAGCTATAGAAAAGGGTCAGGGTAATGCAAGAGAAAATTAAAAATGCAATAAAATAAGTTGTGGAGCAAAACTGAATTTCTGGCTTCTGCAGGCCTGGCTATAAAAAAATCTTTTTCCCCTTCTGTATAAACCATTGCTGCTGTGGGGTATCCAAACAAAATCTTCTAAGTACTTTCATTAGATTTTACTTGCCTCTGTGCTTGTACTCATATTAAAAACAAGTGAACCACCAGCCATTTAAAACAGACACTATATTCAGTAAAGCCGCAGTTTCGCTCTATGTTTATGGGAAATCACTGTAGCTGAGATTATGGCTATCACCAACCTCCTCAGAAGCATTTCAAAACTTCTGATGAAAGAAAACGGGGACGTGTTAAAAATGAAATCTGGTTTTGTAATTATTTTTTTAATCCAGAGGTCAACACTCGAAGGGCCAGGATTTGATCCCTGGAAGGGTTGCCACCAAAGAGACAGGTCCAAGAAGCAAAGGCTGGTTCAAGCCCTCAGCTTTAGTTCAGCTACTGAACCCACACCACAAACCATTGCAAAGCATTAAAGGTAGCTTCTAAATGAAATTAAATGGATTGTCTTTGTAGCAAAGACATGTTTGCCTCTCTAAATGAAAAGCTATTAAATTAGGTAATGCTCACACTCTTTCTTGGAGGCTCAGCACAGAAGGCCCTGTGCTCCTGGTGGCTGCTGCAGCGCTCCTCACCAGCTTCCCTCTGGCACCCCACACCCACGAGCCCTCTCCATGGCTAACTCCCTGTGCCAAAATCCCATTTACTGCTGCTGTAGTTCAGGGTTCAATAAGACGACAGTGTGGGTCTGAGGGAAATAATGTACTATTATTATTTTTCACTGAAAGCAGGATTAAACTTGTTTGAAAAATTCATGGTGAGGGAACAGTAAAGAGCAGAGGGAGGGAGTGACAGAGTCAGTTGGACACAAATCAGCACTGTCCCTCTACCGAGCACCTCACAAAATGTTGTTTTAGTAGCTGCTGCAGCCCTGCTGCACCACAGGGCCACAGCCTCCCTCAGCACAGTCCCACATGGGCAGCAACTT